TGGCTTGGGGAGGAAAGGACCGGGCGGGAATGAATGGGAAAAATTGTTATCGCTGGCAAGGGGGCTGTTTTCGCACTGTTTCACACGGTACTGGATGGAGTGGGTTTTAGCGCATGTTGAGTGTCTTGGTCACAAGTTCCTGTTAGATAACAGGCAGAAGCAAGGCACAGGACAGTGCGTCTCCACCATGTTCCCAAATCTGATCTCTGGAAATGACGGGGAAGGGGATGCCAAGCCTGGTCTTGCCTTCAGTAGGGCCAATAGATCCTTGCCGCCTGGTTCCTCCCTGGTTCTCTGCTCTCGCCCCTGAGGCAGTCAGTTAATAGTGCGCGGGTGCATCACCCTGTGCCTCCTTACCTAACCCAAACCAAAGACCCCCTCCATACCAACTTCACATGCATGCAAAAAAACATCATCGTTGGATATCATCCAGCAATCCAGCAATCCATCAGCATGTCATCATCAAATCATGGTTCACCCCCAGACAAAACCGGGGCGTTCGTCCGTGGCGGCATCATGACGCGTCTGCCTTGCGCAAGGCAACCGAGTGTGCCTGTTCCCGACGCCTCTCTCCAGGCATCCTCAACTCCAGTTTGCTCTAGCTTGCTTGCCTGCGGATCGAGTCCCCAGACCATCGCTAAACATGCGTTCGGCATAATCAGCCATCCCCAGATGCGGTTTTGACTGTGTCGGGTGCTTTTACCATCAGCAGCTCAAGCCAGGTCTGGCGCGCGAGTCGTGTTGGAGGGTGAGAAAAAAGTTTGAGCCCTGCGCGAGCGTACAGGTGTATATGGGTGATTCATCACTGTCAAGCCTTACCTGATTAGTGTCCGAAGTCCAAGGTAGCGCACAAGGTAGGCGACTAGACATGTGCTTTCGCTTCTCACGTACATTCTTGATACATTGCCAGACTCTGGGTCAGAGCGACTCGATGCATGCCTGTCGGCGACTCAATGATGAACCACGCGCCTCGCCCTCCGTTGTCAGAAGAGCGAAAGTCCCTTGCTTTGTCTGTCTGCCATCTGTTCCTTCATGTCCGTCATCTGCATCATCTCCCTCGAGCACCGTTGATACAACCACGGCAAACTTCACTGGCATTTGTGTGCCCCATTTTCTCTCTTACGTAACACCATCGGGATTGGGCTTAGGGGTGGTCTTCAAGCACTTCTCATAGTGAGCCTCCACGCGCTCATGATCGTGTTTGAGAATGAGAATGAGAATCAGTCACTCAACGCATAAGCAATACTTACGACTTGTCAATCGCCCTTGGATTGCGATCTCATTTCGCCTTCCAAGGCTCGCGTGGAAACACTTCGAGCGCCACTATGCCCCTCATATACGCGAAAGTCTCGAAATAGGTCTCATAACGTCGAAACGAACAATTTCACCAGAATCATCGATGTCGTGCGAGCTGATAGACACAGCCTTTGCGTCGACGTTTTGGACTTCAATAATTAATCCCTCCATGGGCTGGTCTCCCAAGGGAACATTGCCTTCTATCACCAGTCTACCCCAGTGATACCCTTCGGTATCCCCATCTGGAACGGCAAGCGCCTGTCCAAGGACACCACCTGAAGTCGTCTGGTACGTCTCCTTCTCGAAAGACATAGCGCCTGTGGGCGTTTATGTTGCTGTACTCGTGGCCGTGGCCGTGACCGCGGCGGAATCAATCAGAGAGGCCGAGCCCGTCACGGGCTTACACTCCCCAATTGAACTGCGCTGCATCCCAGGCACAAGCCCTAGCGAAACATCCCAGCCCGTCACGCCCGCCCAGTAGTGGCAGTACAAGGTACTGTCCTGACAGTACGTCGGATTGCACAAGATGCTGCTCGTCGATGGGGTAGTCGTCACGTTGCCGACAGATGAGCTTGTGGAATTGACGACAGCTTTGGCTGTCACCGGCGATATACCATTGAAATCAATGTCCGTTTTGCTGTCAAGTGTCTCGCCGTCAATGAAAACATTGGTCCAAGTCGTAGAAGCGGCAGCGGAAACGGTGCAGGGCTCAGAGAAGACGGTCTGGGTCATGCCAGGGATCACTCCATGAGAGACGTCCCAGCTAGTGACGCCGCCCCAGTAGAGACACATAGACACCCCGTCCTGGCACCAGTCTTTGATGCAGCTGATCGAGGTGTCGATGGCAGCATGGGAGACGGGGCCGGTAACGGTTAAGATTGTAGCGGGAACTGTGATGACGGGACCGGCGGCGCCGAGGATGGCCGTCACCAGGCTCAAGCCGAGGACGAATTTGCTGAATGGCGACATTGTGTCTTGATGCTGTCTGGCCGACCGCTTCGGGTATGATCTCGATAAGGGGCGAAGAGTCTCTGTCGGCGAGTTTTACAAAGCTAGGAGCGTACGGTACGCATGGTCAATAGTGCCTCGTGAAATGATATGAGGATGAACATGTGAAAGCTTCTCGGTGCCCAGGCGCTTGCCTTCACTTGAACTTGAATAAGTATACTGCTTTCAGGAGTTCGTTCAATGATTCTTTGACAGAAGTCGAAATTTCGAAGGACGATGCACGGGGCTTCAGCCATGGATGGCAGTGAGAAAAAACAGCCAGATGATGCGACTCATACGAATGTGCATGGCAGACGTTCAGGGCATGGAGTTCACACCGTACGCCAGATTTTGCCTCAAAGGTCATCTGGGCGTGACGCGAACAGCTCGGTTGATTCTTGATGAACGGAAGACAATGAAGAACCTGGACTTACTGGCGTATCAAGGGTTGAGGTTTGATCACCGAAAGAGTTCGTGAGCTCAGCAAGCCTGCTTTGTTGGGTGCGTAGATGAAAGAGGCGAGGGCTTTGGCTAGGAAATAGCTGCTCCTCTTGCGGAGAGAAGTTTAGTCTTGCCCCTCCCAGTTATTTACCGTCAAAGCCTCTGAATCATTCCCCTCGATGAACCACAGGTATCAAGTGGACTTAGGGGCAGGCAGGCAGTTGACAATGTAGAAGTAGACAGTATCACCTGGTTAGTAGCGGCTTCCAGGCAGTACAGGCGTGCTGAACGCTTCATTCATCAGCCCTTACTTCGCGGTTGGCTCAGAGATATTGTGCTACATGCTACAAATCCCAGCATCGTCTCATGGGCAACACGGCCTCGGAGGCCAGGAACGGCGCCTAGCGGTTTTCGCAATCGGTTGAGGTCACGAGAGTGTTCGAGGAGAAGAGAATCGGATGACCGTGGCTTGAGGGTGATGCGTGCCGAGTAAGTGACAAACTCAACTTGCAAGGGTTTATGGGAAGGTGAGGCGAGTCGGACCGTTCGGCGAGCTCCGGAAGAAGCACGTCTCGCGAAGCCTCGAAAACCGTGTGGGCGGTATCCTGTACTATCAACGTGCGCTCGAGACGTGGGGGTGGACTGCCAGCTTCGTCCGAGAGAGACGTCTTGTGGCATCGCGACACACCGAATGCGAGTGACAATGGCGCGCGGGCGGTGGGACGATTCGGAAGAAGGATGCCGGCAGGGCGGACATGGGACCATGCGAGTGCCACAGGCCCGAGTTTTCCTCACAGAATCGTAACAAAAAGAGGTAAATTAAGGAGCAGTTGAATCGTCTTCGTATTGTCAACCTGGTTCTATATGGAACAGGAAAGAAGGACATGGTATTCCCTGAGCAGACACGTACAACAGTGCAATTGCACACGTCACAAGAGGAACCCAGAAGCGGATCAGGTGGACAAGGCGCCCGCGGCCTTGAAGAACAGGGTGGCGGTAACTGTCTGGCCCACGAATCAGATGAGAGTGCAGAGAGGAGCAAACTTGCGATTCTCTTTCAATTCTCTCAAAAGACGACATTGGCAGCGACGACGACGCCGGCGTAGTGACCAAGAGTGTCGAAACCGTTGGCACTGGCATTCTCGGCGCGAACGATGCGTTCTTTAGTCTGTAGAGCGTCAGTCTAGATTCTAGGTCCACATATGCGCCCAGCGACATCCGACGTATGGGCTTGTCCAGGGTCTTGTCATCTTTGAGTCTCTGCTGGAGGGGTCGAGTGTTGGCCATGTCACAACTCTTTCTGGCTGCCGCAGAGGCGTAGGAGTGGGAGCCATGGCAATGAAGAAGGTGGCCGGCACCTGAGCGGACAGCTGTGTCAGTGAGAGCGTACGCATACGTCCGTCTCGAATATGATGACTCACTGTGAGGGACGAGAGCCCCGTTTGGCCGAGGCTGAGGCACATAGTGATGGATGATCTGATGGAAGGAGGGACATCAAGGAGGCTTCAACACGTACTGATGCAAGCCCTGGCTGAAGCCTTTAACACAACCTTTCCTGTTCCAGCTCTCAGGCGCCTCTGAAATTCGCAGGCTCCGCATTCGCCGCATTTCTCTGAATGTCGTGGTTCGTCTCTATGGAGAGCCAAGAGAATTGACGTGAGGACAGGTGCGGCTTGCAAGTTTGTGACTTCTACAAAGCAACCTTCAACAAGCTGACTGCAGAGTGGCAATAAACGTGTCGAAGACGGCGAGTTCACATGAAAACTTGACAGTACCGATCAAGGCAGCCGAGCACCTGAGTTCACCCAACTCAGGGAGAATTCTCTGCCACAGGGCTCACCAGAACAAGGCCACAGTTGAAGCACTCATGTCTGCCCGAAGATAGATTGACAGACAGGCCGCATTTATCCCTGGGAATCTTGTCGCAGCGCACATAAAGATGTCCTGGCGCTGTCGGCCAACGGGGTCGTTTGCGGACTTGTTTTTGGAATAGTTGGAAACTCATCTGCATCTGTCATCTTGCTGTGTTCGAACAGGGTCGTATGCGGACTCGCATCTGGGATAGACAGCGCTGATCGAAGCGCAACACGTCAAGTCCGCCACATGGCAGACACATGTTCAATGTTGGCACGCGGCCCGTGTAGTCAGCATCCAGATGTGAAAGAGACAACACGGAGCGCGTCTCGAGATCGCATTGACATCTTATTCAAAGCGATGGGGCTTTTCTTCCTATACGAAGGCGTTTTGAGTTCGAAGCCATCACAACGTGATCGGTTTATTAACAAAGCGACATGTGACGCCATGTAACGACGTGTTGCCCCGTGGTAAAGCCAGAAATCTACGTATGTTGCAGATACGACCATAATGTATGATCTCATATGGTTATGAGTCTGATGAGTCGTAGCGATTGTCTTTGTCAATACGTTGATCAAGGGCTTGTGAAAGCTGAATTCGAGGAGTACCGAAGGTAGGTACCTAGATAGCGCAGGGGGTCCCGGCTGAGTCATCAAGACCACCCCGCTATCGAAGCTCTACCACATGCGAACATCCACATGCCCACCTATCGCGCCCGGTCAACGCGACTTCAACACCAACTCCAGCATCGCGACATCGCGTCCAACGGCAGCGCGTACAGCCACCACCTGTTAACAATGTCACAACCACCGCCCTCAGACAACCCGCCACCGCCTCCCAACCCAGAACCCACAGAAATGGACACCTCGCCAGACAACCCCCCGCGGGACCCAGCCCCCGACGCGCCGCAGCAGCCAGCCGACCAAGACGAAGCAGCAGCAGCCCCCGCGTCGCCCCCGCTCCCCGAGAAACACACTCCCGTCGCGCCGGGCTACCGCGCGGCCCGCTTCATCAAAATGTACGACGAGGCCCTGCGGCGCACGCTGGCCCGCGTAAAGTACGACAACTTCGCCGCCTGCTTCCCGACCATTGCCGCCCACGCGCCCAACGCCCTGCGCAACGTGCAGAAGCAAATGGTCGACTACCTCGAGGACCGCTGCAACGTGCGTTCATCTCTCCTCCCTGCGAGAATCCCCCTTTCGCGTGCGTGTGAAACAGAGAGCAAACACAACATGCAAGATGACGAGGCGCAGAGAGACATCGCATGCTGACGGGTACCACAGAAGGATTTCCAGGCCATCCTTGACGAGAGGGACCTCGTGCGCAAGCTGAACGAGCTCGAGGCCCTCGTCGCCGAGGCGGATCGGCAAAAGGGCGAACACCCAGCCGACGCGCCAGAACCGATACCGTGAGTCCCATTGAGCCCTTGAAACACCAGTGCCGGCGCCCCTTCTTTCAGACCCAAGGAGGCGAGCAGCTGGCTCGAACAGCCCGGTTTCTCCGGATCAAGACATCAGCTGACGGACGGAACAGCCCGCACTCTCTGCCCCCTGAAGCTGTGATCAAGGGCCATCTTCACCCGCCGCTCGCTCATGCCTACTCGCACCTGAGCGCCGCTCTCCAGAACACGCGCATGGAGAACGAGGACCTTTTTACCACGATACAGGCCCAGCGTGCCGAGATGGACGCTCTGCTTGCTGACTTGGACGGCGTCGTTGCTGACATAGATGGCGCCAACGATCTTCTCGGCGAAGTGGCGCCCGAGCTTGCTGCTGAGGCACGCAAGGCAGACAACGGTATTGCAGGAATATAGAATGGAGCTCACTTCTCCTTTCTTCGGTTGTCCGAGACACCCAATACGCCATTGACTGCGCTGTGCACCTCAGCAGCGAGCTCAGATGCGACTTGGGTGACAAGTCAAAGCAAGCCGATCAGGTTGACTGCCATCTCGAAACAGGATTACACGCAAAGGGAAGAGGGACGCCAAGTCCAAAATGGGGCTCGCGCCCCATTGTACACCACGCTATGTATGCTATAATGATGCCCACGACGCCATGACAGCCGCGGCGCGGCTTATATATAATGCCAAAGAGTAACACACCCCAGCTGCCTCCATTCAGTTTGACTTCCCATTCGTGACCGTACTACTTACCATGTGCCCATCTGGCGCCGGAGTGGGGCCTGGGCCATGCAGTAGGGAATTATGCATATTGTCACATCAGGAGTGACGTGCCTCTCTTCGAGCCCACGCTCCACTCCCCATACCGCGGAGGAAAGACTCTCACTTTCCTCCCCGTCTCCCAGTTTATCGTCCATCGCGTGCCTCCTCGAATGACACACTCACTCTTCCTCGGGCTGCGGTATAGCAGGATGGCGAAGCAAAGCCGCGCATACCGCATGTCATCCGCTGGATCCCACGTCTCGCGCGGCGGCGCCCATTTGCCATCGACTTCGCCGCCTCCAGCCGCAGCAACGAGCCTCCGAAAGCTTGCCGACCCGGTTGTCGATCGCCTCGACAACGCGGGCGTCGAGCCCCCAGATGGTACCTGGCCCTGGATCATACCTTGTCCCGCCATGCCCTGTGTACCATCTGACATTTCAGGCGACGGATATGGATCGGCGTCCATGTCGAGGTGCGAGCTCAGGCTCAGACTCGAAGTGATGCTTGGGGAGTACGCCCTCGGCGCGAGCGTCAGCCCGCCTAGTGGTCGTGGCGTCGGGACGGGATAGCTCACCCTCCCCGCGTTCGACACGCGTCGCTGAGCTTGCAGCCATCGTGTCCGTTGAGAACGGGGTACGGACTGATCGGCGGGATACTCGCGTTCGTCGAGGGGGGCTGCTATAGCTATGGCGGCAAAAAAGGCGTCAAGCCAGCGAACAAAGGTGGCAGACTCGAGACATGACAGCAGCAGCTGGTCTGTTTCGAGGCGGAGGCGAATGACGTTTCGTCGTCTATTCTGTTAGTCATTTTGCCCCTTGCCGCTAGGGGTTCTGACCCACGTGTTCATATATGATGAGTACTTACTTCTTGTAGTCGGCAGCAATACCAATGTCGGCGTGCTGTAAGTGGTAGGTCCGCAGAAGGGTCGCTCGACGAGCCCAGGGCGGATTATCGGGAGACTGGTTAGAAGATGCCCACTCGCGTGCGGCGCCCCAGCCCCATTGCGTCCACTCCTTTTTGACGCTGTAAAGCTTGAGACTGGTGCCGCGTAATTGGACAATGACAGTGTGCCAGGTGCGGTCATCGGCGCGGTCCACGGCGTCCTCGAGTTCCATTTTCAGCTCCCAGACGGCAGCGAGATCAATGTCGGTGTGGTATTTCGGCGGCAACTCGATGAGGGCCTGCCTCTGCTGAGGTTGCTGTCGGCGATCATCAGTGACGGAGATGAGGGATGATGCCGGACGCAGAGCCTGTGGTCGATAGGGGGGTGGTGGTTCCGAAGGCGGCCTCGGGTCGGCTGTCATGAGCTGTTGATAGAACAAGTCCTCCTCGACAGAGAGGCGGCGGCCGTAGGCATCATGGCGGGCGGTAGATGTGGTAGAGGATGGAGTAGATGTTGAAGATGAGGAGGATGAGATGGAACGTGAGGCTGCGGTCCAGAAGCCTTCGCCGCCTGCGGCAAAACGAGAACTCATGAGAGTGGCTCCAATGCTATTAGATGACGAGGCGTAGGGGAGAGGAAGCAAAGGTGTGATGGGGCGTGGTAAGGCGAACAGAGGTTGTCCGAGGGTGGTGGTTGGTCCCAGAGGAGCCATCAATCATCATGATGGAGGTCGATGTCGGTGCTTGGATTGAGATTGCAACCCGAATGTAAGTACAAGAGCTGGATAGGCAGGTGGGAGCTGCTGCGGCAATTTCGGCCCGCTCAAGCTCGTTCATCGACTCGATCTAGAAGTAAATTTGGCTGACGCACACGAGGTGGTTTTGGTCGTCATGAGGCTCATTCGGCTGAAAGAAAGCCGCTGGCCAGAGGTTGTGTGAGAAGGTACCGTTGCCTTCAGGTTTGGGTCAATGTTGAGTCTGGGACTACCGTCTTGGCACCAGCCAGTGCTGTCTGCGCAACTCACTTGTCTTGATAGAGCAGGGGACGCGCAGATGGTTCGTTTTCATCAAGTAAAGAAAAGAAATAAGTTTTGCGGCTAAGACGGAAGAAATGTGAGTTGTCGTGTTGCAAGGGCGCGGTGAAAGGCACAGACACAAAGCAAGGTACGGCTGTGGGTGAGCAGCGGAACTGAAGTGAGTCAAGTCATGTCAAGGGTCCATATAAGGTAGGGCGCAATATGACACCTCGGAGCCAGTGACAAATCGCTCAACAAGACACGAGATGGGGGTAGCGTTGATACAGCAGTTTGTTTGGTGAAGATGAAGAGGCAGAAGACGGATGACGGTGGAGGAGTAGTCCAAGAGGAGAAGAGGAGAGAGGGGACACAGCTTCCAGAAGGGGCAGAAGAAGCATTCTAGAAGGATGGGGAAAAGACGAAACAGATCTCGCGAACTCATGGCAATCAGCACGCAGAAAAGTGACCGCGCCAATCGCAGCGAAAGGACCACGACGTGGGCATGGGTCGGGAGGCGCGGAAAGCAGACGGCGGGCAGCACTTCTGCTTGGAGCCATGGTGAGGTGCTTCTTCGGAGGATATTGTGACGGCGGCGGGAGCAGCAGCGACGAACTGTCGTGATCCGCTGGTGCGCGTGGGTGTACATCTACAACCTAGGTAGACGGACTGGGTTCGAGCTGGTGGAGAGGCGAGGCATAGGTTAAAGTTGGATGCTGATCCGCTGGGTGCTGTGATGGATGGTATGGTGTCTGTGAGTGGAGGAGCTCGGGGCCGTGGCATGGGGCCGTGGCCTGGGGCAGTCGCATGGGACAGGAGGGTAGCATGGGGCATGGGGCACGTATGGGGCACAGCGTACATGTACATGGTAAACGTACATGTACAGCGGGTAGGGGCTCCCTACCGGCTATCCTACAAGGGTGGAAGCTTTGAGGCAGGTGCAAAGTTAGGGGGTTCTCCCGGCCGGCGGCCTCGCGGGGGGTGGTCGTAGAGGCCACAGGGGTTGGGTGGACAGGCCAGGGCGTGAGATCTGCTAGGCCCTTCTGGGTAGGTCCTTCTTCATACCCATCTGATCCATCTCAAGCACGACCCAGGCTGACGGCCAGACTGAAGCATTTGATGGGGATACCCGACATGAGAGGCAGGAGATGTCGTGATCAAAGATAGAATAGGGAAGGACAAGTGAAGAACCCACAGCTCGGGTGGATTTCCGAGGTCGCATCAAATCTGGGTCGGCTCACTTCCTCCGCCGCAACTACCTACCCAAGCAAGCTACCTTCCCTTACCTCACCTTACCTCGCAGCATACCTACATGTACATGCTGTCATATGTGCTCCAAGGCCTCTTCTCCCCGTACTCCTGCTGCCGTGCCTTATTGCTTTCCTCTCTTCCATCCTGCATCGCCATTGCCCCCCTCCAAGTCTGGAAATCATGCAGCCACCAAAGGCGGCTACGACCTCCCCCTCCACCATCTCCCTCCCTTGGCACCTTAGTTGCCGATCGCATCTACAGCGGAGTCGCCGTGAGCCTCCTGTTAGACCGTCGTCCCCTTTCATCATCGCACTCATTCGTCGTACCCCATCCTCAACCCCCAGCGCCATGCCCGGATAGCCGCGCGCGAAGCCATGAACGGATATCATCTCCGTTGGATTCATCATCACGGCTCCTCTTTTACAAACCCACCAACACCGACGCCCTAGCAACAACCAAGGCTTGCCTGGAAATGATCGATGCACAGCAACATGGCGTCTGTTGTCTCCTGGGCACCATCTAGTGGCAACGCGCAACTCTTCGCTCACGGGCCGCCTCGTCCTGATGGTCAAGGCAAACCGATGAACAAACATACGAAGAAGAGCTTCAAGTTTCATTCGTTTGACACGATACTCTTCGAACGGCGTGCTCATGCCTGATCCCTGCGACAGCAGCAGCTTGCTAGCATTAAGCTTACCGCTCCAGTTTCTTGGCACCATTGAATCCTTCGCCCAAGGAACACTTCCAGAAGCCCCCCTCGCCTCCCGCCCCCTGTTCCTGTTCGCCGCCGCCCACGCCCCCCCTTCCTCTCAGTTGGACTTCCGCCCGCCCCTCGCCCCTTCATGATGAGCACGACAAGACAGTGACATACCCGCACATCACAGCAAATCGCCTTGCCTAAGCCTCCCACATCTCGAGCCATCCTCCTCCCGCACCTGATTTCTTCTTCTTCTCGTATTGCTTCGTGCAGCGCCGGCATACGACGCTTGTCGGACGCTTGTCGATCTCCCCCTTTTACCCTGAAGCCAATTGAGTCAAGAATCAGCCTGCTGCCAGACAGGGTTTGCCACATGCACACTGCGCGCTTGTGCTACTGTGCCTGCCTACCGTGCTCCGTGTGCCCATGCTCATGTTCGTGCTCCGTGCTCGTGCTCATGCTCGTGCTCGTGCTCGTGCTCGTGACCCCTGAGGGGTTGTCATCAGTCGTTGGCCTCGGCGCCGAAACGGGCCCTGCTGGTCTTGCCTGGTCCGGCAGTTGGACCTGCCACTATTGTACATCTCGCCCGAGAAAGCGGGACAGACGGGCCACCAAGGAGGGAGAATGGAGGGGTCTTCCAAGACTTCTCTCGTCTTGTTCCTCGGACTCGGCTGCCAGCGATCGCCTCGCCGCATCAAGAAGGTGGCTGCGAAGTGCTTGCCCGTTCCCCGAACATGACATAGCAGATAGTAATACACAAAAGATCATAGAATGCCTCGCAATACCAGACTTGACATGAATGACGGACAAAGAGTCGGAATTAGCAATCATCGTCCCTACTTTTCATTACAGCCTCTTTTGCGTCCTGCTTCAGACGTCTCATCTTGATGAGGTAGCTCGCCCATGCTCGCGAGCTTGCCTGCTTGCCTCCAGACGCTTCCTACCCACTATAATACAGCGCCCAATCCCCCTTTCCATCCCTGAAATCCGCCCATTGCCAGGTGGGCAGTCCGCTCACGACGAGCACGCACATATCCCCCCACCCACCTGATTTTACCTGCTTGCCCACCTGCCCTGCGGCGACGACCGCCAAACTCGCCTTCGTCAAATATACACTTTTCGTCGCCTCATTCGTGAGCGGCTGGGCCACCGCCCAGAGGAGAGACATAGAGAGAGAGAGAGAGAGACCCGACGCCTGCTTTGCTAGATTACCCCGTGCTTTTCCCGTCGCCCGCCGCCAGAAAAAGACCAACAAACGGTCGAAATGCAAATGCTGAGTGGCCATGCTCGGGGAGGAACAGAAGAGTGCCCAGGGGTTCGGGGGAAAAAAAACACGCAGAACCTGAGGTCAAGCTGCCCGGAAAATGGCCATCACAACCACGCCCCGTCCGACTCGAACTCCGTGGAAAAGACGACATGAATAAATAAAAAGGGGTTCCGAAAACAATAACCAGCTTTTGTCTTCTCGCAGTCCAAGTACCCTGGGAGGTTACCTGGAGAGAGGAAAGGAGAGGGAGGATATGATCGGGGTGTAGTTACAAGTCGACAGTAAGCGCGCGAGATGCTGCGACTGGTAAGGTAAAAGGTGGAATCGGCATCATCCACCGAACCGTGGGTTTTCATCATGCGTGTGATACCAACCCTCGGCCATGCATGTGCCCTGCAGCGCGCTCAAAGGCTGCCGTTTCTCAAGCGTTGGTGGCAGCCTGCGAGGCGCCACGGCCGCGGGGAGCACCCCGGCCACGGCCCTGTCCGCCGGTGAAGTTGCCACGGCCACCGCCCTGGCTTCCCTGGCGCTGGCCCTCGAAACCGCCGCGTCCGCGGCTGGGAGCGCCGCCACGTCCGGAAGCGTAGTTGCTGCCACCGTATGCGCCAGCCTTGGGACGGCGGGCCTCAACGTGAATTGTCTCGCCGTTGACGGTGTGGGGGTTAGCGGCGGCGGCAGCCTGGTAGCCGGCAGCGGTCGCGAACTCGACAAAGGCGCAGTTCTTCTGGCGATTGACATCGAAGTAGGTGAGCTCGCCGTGGGCGGCGAGAGCAGCGCGGAGGTCCTCAGTCTTGACCTTGTCGGTCACATACTTGACGTAGCCAAGGGTGTCCTTGTTCTCGGTGGGAGGGCCGGAGATGGACTGGGGGCGGTTCTGGCGTTTGGAGTCAGAAACGGACTGCCACTCGGTGGCAGCCTGGGAAGCCTCCTTGGACTCGGTAGGCTGCTGAACGGCGGCGCTGGGCTGAGGGGACGCGGCTGCAGCGGCGGCAGCGGCAGGAGTAGCTGAAGTGGGGGCAGTCGACTTCGCGGCGGGGACAGCAGCCTTGGGGAGAGGAAGGGCGGCCTTGGGTCCGACAGCAGCGGCAGCGCGGCTGGCCCAAGACATGGGCTTGGCGGGAACAGCAGCAACAGGCTTCTCGGCCTTGGCAGGAGGAGCAACGGGAGTCGGGCTGGGGTCGGCAGGCTTCTCAGCCTCCTTGACGTCGTCCTGCGCAACCTCGGCGGCAACAGTCTCCGGGTTCGTCTCAGCGGCAGCCTCAGGCACAGCCTCGACGGGCTCCTCGGCCTTGGCCTCGTCAGCATCGCTAGCAGCCTCGTCAGTGCTGGCGGCAGTCTCCTCGACGGAATCCTCGAGCTTCTTGTCGACCTCGTCAGCATCAATGGCGGGCTCGTCCTTAGTCTCTTCCTCGGCCTCGACGGGAGCCTTCTCGGCCTCAGCGGCGGGGGGGCTGGGCTCAATGTTCACTTGCTCCTCCTGGGTCTCGACGACGGCCTCCTCCTCGCCTTCCTCGTTGACGAAGCGCAGGATATCGTTGACAACGAAGTAGCCGGAAGGCTGCGGTGCGAGGACGAAGGTCTGGACGAACTTCTGGGGCTCAGCAGCCTTGTTGGAGGTCTCGCCGATGACCTGGATGACAATGTTGTCGAACGAGGCCATAGAGTCGACATTGGTGACGCGGACTTTGCAGTCCTGGAAGTCGAGCTCCTTGATACGCTCCTGGATGGCCTGAGAGAAAGAAAACGAGGTCAGACGAGAAACGACGAGGCAGACCAGTGGGGCTACTCACATTTCTACCCACGGACACTGTGGCAACCTCGGCCTCCTTGCCGTAGACGAACTGGGAGCGCTTGCCGTAGAAGAGCTTCAGGGGATTGATTAGCAGGCCGATGACAGCATGGCAGCGTTCAGGCAGGCAACGTACGTGAAGCTTCTCGGGTGTCTTGCTCAGGGTGGTGTAGTACTGCTCAACGAAGTACCAACCGACCTCATCCTTACTGAGGTTGGCGTTAGAAGCCGAAGAGGGAGAGAAATCAGTGGCAGCAGCGACGGACGATTGATCGGCATTGCCCTTGTACTGTTCCTTCTCCGTGAAGTTTCCGTTGGCCGCCATGGTTGCGAACGTGGAATTTCTGATCTGGCGCAACTCGAACCGGGATGATCGGGTCTGACGATGTCGACCGAACCGATGTGGGTGGGATTAGACTCGTTGTACGTAGGCGACGACGAGTGTGCGTATAGCTGCTTCGCTGCATACAGAGTTAGGGCCAAGGGGTCTTGCAGAGATGGACGCAGAAAGGGGCGCCGAGCTTGATGGCTTACCTTGAGGTACGAGGCAGGGCAATCGTTCGAAAGGACCGAGTCGCAATGGGTTGGAGTTCCGTTTCGAGAACAAGGACCAAAAGCCGAAATTATGTAAGGAAGGGTTCCAAAGGCCGCAGCAACGGAAAGGAGGAGGATGGGTGTGGACGTTGGAGGGAGGAGAATGAAGAACAGAGGAGGGCAGGGAGGGAGAGACGTCGGGTATGTGTGCGGGCACAAAGAGATTGTTGGAGGGACGTGGCTGAGATGCAGTCGTGGTGATGTAGTCGCGAGTGATGGACGGACGGGATTGGGATTTGACTTGGGGGAGATAGACGACAGACGGGAAGGGCCTCGGGGGAAGGTGGTGGAAAAAAAACACGCCCGGGTGATCACGCCCTGCCCTGTGCTTTCCCCAAGATCCAGCCAGGAGGACTTTGCACGCAAGGGGGGGAGACTCGGTGGGCACGCTTGGGCACCGCGACGTGTCATGTAGCTGCGAGCTAGGTCAATGTACCATCTAGGCAGCTTAATCATCGCGTCCTTGCCCCACCTGCCGCCGCCTTGCGGTTGCGACCCGTCAAGGTGCGAAGGCCCAATCTTTGACTCTCGAGCTGTGACAGGAGCCGGGAGCAGCTTGGGTGCTCCCTCTAAAAGCTAAGCGCAGCCTGACGGCACACGACAGCGCGCAGTGTGGTCCATGCTTCAACGTGGTCATCAAATGCCATTGGCGTTTTGGTACACGACGCTTGGGGCAGAAGGTCATGTCTCAGAGTAGACTGGAACACCATCTGGCCGGCTCCACCAAGCTCTCAGAGCTTGTACCTCTTATGGCCATGAGGCAAAATCACTCAGATGCTGCTGACCATTACGCAAACAGCGAAAGATCATCGCACCGCGTGAGGCCATGCATGTACCTGGAATTTGCATATCGTGAACGGCATCGACGAGAGGTCGGGCATGCAAAACAATATTCTACATGTTGCTCCTTGCTGCTCGGAGCCCAGGGGTCTATCTCTTACAGAACCTTTTGATAATGCTACAGCCAAGGATGCGGGCCATACTGGTTGATACAGTGCCATCAGTCGGCGAATCCAAACACCTCACTCACAGACAGAGTGTTTGACCTCACACCCGCCAGCGTCACCACGATGCACACCAGATCCACAACCAGCAACAAGACAGCACCCATCATAAACCTCGGGCAGAACACCCTGTACAGCATCAAGTGTCTCCTCAAATGCCCTGCCCAAGCCATGGTTGCCAAGCTTTCGACGGCAAAGAAGGACACAAACGCCGCCAGCGCTCGACTGGCACTCTCCAGCACGCCTTTTCTCTTGGGTCCGACCTTCCACAGCACCACAAGAGGCACCGCTGACGCCGCGATGATCTGCGCACCAAAGTGGTTGAGGGCCACAACGATCGGTGTCCATGGGTAGCGGATCGTGAAGAGCGGGATAAAGGCACTGTCCCACTGAATGCTCGAGGGGGTGGCCTGGTGGCCGGTCTTGAAGTAGGCGAAGTTGCCGAGGAGAGCAAGCATGACAGGGCCAATCGACTCAGCAGTCAGGCCGTTCAGGTCGAGAATCTCCATGAGCGACATCGTCTGCCAGAAGACCAGGGCGAGGGCGCCGCCACCCATGGGCTTCGACAAGAGGATGCAGCCGGCGAGGAGGTTCATTGGCAGGAGTAGATAGCGCGCGCCGTTGGTGTTGCCGTACCCAAGAATGACGACTTTGTTGCTGCCGTCGGGGGCGCGAGACTGCACGACCGATACCAGAGGGGGTGCCCAGACGAAGGCTGTCGTCCCAGCCACAAAGACAAGGGCGAGAACAAGTTGGGCCACGTACACAGCGATTGTCTTGAGCGTCTGCTCAGGGAGACCAGGGACCCACTCGCCGTTGTCTGCAGCATCAAGAACCCAGTAGAGAGCGGCCATGAAGAGGCCAGCCCTGTAGATGTAGCCAATCCAGGTTGGGCCCAGGCCTTCCCATGACCGCAAAGGCACGAGGAACGACTTGATAATAGCAGGAAGAGCAAAAGCAACAACGAAGGGGATGAGAAGCTGCCATCCAGCCGACGTCGAGGATGACGACGAGGCATAGTAGGTTGATGTGCAATAAGGCATCTGCTCCTCGCGGCAAAGCTTGGAAAAGGAGGCTGCCCTGCCCAGAACGATAAAGAGAACCGAGTGGTAGACGGCAAGGGTGCGCTCCACAGGAGAGGGGATGGAAAAGGAGGCGACAGCACTGATGGCGCCAAATGTGGAGATGAAGAAGAGGAGGATTGAATCCTCCCAGATGGTATACGAGTTGGACGCAAATCCAACAGACTGACTGACAGTAAATAGGACAGAAAGCCAGCCCCAGACGGAGGTGGGCAGAATGTTGAGAAGGCCCTTTCCAGCGTCTGTGAGAGCTACAAGAGCGGTCACAATACTAGCGAAAGCAGCAGCCGCCGCTGCATAGGTCAGATCGTTGACGCCGAGGAGCTGAGAGCCGGCAGCCCCAGCGAATGCTCCTGGGATGGCGCCCACAAGAGCCGCAACGACGATGTTCTTGTGAAGCTGCGTATACTCCGGCGAAGCAGCGCCCACGATGCCTTGAAGCTCAAGCTTCTTCTCGGCAAAGTCAAGCTCGATGTCTGTGGCTGCGAAATCCTCGTCTTCGTCGCGGGACGCATATACTAGCAGCATGATGACACCCGCCGCCATGACGATGATGCCCGTGATCATCTTGGGCACATCGAACCGTGCCCAAAGATCCTTGCACACCTGCAGGGTCTCCTCCTGGAAATTCCTGAAAGACTGGTAGGAAGCGGACCACGACTTGGTAGCCCACGCGCTATGCGCCTGGGTCCAGCTCGCATGGGTTGGGCTCGACTTGGACGAGCTCTCCATGCCACGTGCAGCGAAGTAGGAATCTTGGTATCGCTGTGTGCCGGCAGCCGAGATCCGCGAGACGGCAGCTAGGTTGGCCCAATCGTTGCCCTTGACACCAGCAAATGCCTCCTCGATGGGCCCTCCCAGGTTGTTGAAGGGAATGGGGATACCGAGCAAGAGGGCCAACGTAGGCACAAGATCAATCTGGTTGACAGGGCGTTCCTTGCCTGTCGCGGGCGGCTGCACATGATTGGGGTCGGTCCGGCCGAAGAAGGGCCTCTTGCTGTACATCCAAAGCGCTGCCTCAACTTCGTCGTCGGACTCGCCGCCGTGGTCGCCCTTTTCGTCCATGCCGTGATCCCCCATCACAATCAGAACGGTATCGTCATCGATTTGCGTAGATAGGTCGCGCAGCCAAGCATCCATCTGCTCCAGCTTCGCCTTCATGGCGGGGTGATCTGGGCCGTATCGGTGGCCCGCATGGTCGACTCCAAGAAGATGTCCGATGAGGACATCCCATTTCCCCTTGTTCTCGGGCTGAAGTAGGGGCGCTAGGTGATCAATGACACCAGTGTCGACCGTGTGCAGGTCCCAGACGTTGAAACTGTCGTATGCGCGACTGATGTTGGGCTCGAAGTAGTCGGGGAACAAGGACACCCAGGTATCGTCACCAATGTGAACAATGCGCTGCCCCAGGCCCTTCATCTGCATCAGCAGGTTATCCTCCTCGATGGCCGTGCCCGCAAAATTGCTACCCGCGTCGATGAAGGTCGGTAGCGTTCCGGTCGTCAAGCCCTTGAGCCTCTGCAACGTGGCCGTCGGAGGGTCGGCAATAAAGGGCCGGAGAAAGGCGTTCTGCGGCGACTTGAGCGCCGTCTCGTGCAGAAAGGGAAACGCATTGTGGAAGGGCGCATTGTCGGCGACGGGCACGGTAAAGTCGTACCGCAGCGCATCAATGATGACGACGACGGCCTTGTCGAAGGACTTGGGATGCCAGCAGCCGCCCTCGACGGTGCCCATCCCCTTCCAGCTCCCCGCCGGCTCGACAGGCGGCACGGTGCACTCGGACTTTTCGTCCAGCACCATTCGCGTCAGCAGGAAGCCGCTCGTGAAGAGCAGGATGCCCACGGCGTGGATGCAGAGCAGCCAGAGCCAGAAGCCGACGGCCCACCACCAGCGCCGCCCAAAGGCGCTCTTCCGGCGGGCCTCGAACGCCTTGCGCTGGAGTTCGGATGCGTTTGCTTTCGTCTTGGGCGCGCCATCTTGTTGTTGTTGTTGTTGCTTCGCGGCGTCGGTCGCCTCTTTCGCTCGCTTGGCGCGGGCGTACTCCGCCGCGATGGTTTTGTAGTCGGCCGAGGGGGCGGGCTGTTTGGAGTTCGGTTGGGCCATGGCCGGCTCTGGTTTCGTGGCAGGGAAGCAGACAGATAATAGAAGAAGAAGAAAGAAAGAAAAAAAAATAGAGACAGTGTTAGGAGCGGACGGACTGTGCCATGGGAATCGAAAGGGGCTTTGCAGACTCGCCGTGTGCTGGTCAATGGCAGGCAGAGTCTGTAGGAGAAAGAATGGAGTTGTGGAAGGCAGAGAGAGGGTCGCGCCGACGTCGTCCGTGCCGTGACGGGACGGACCCTCAAGGTTGTGAACGTACTGTGGTGTGGGGTCGACGCCCTCGCTGCTTTTACTTACATGAGCTTCTTACCTACCTATGCACCTGACAGTCAGCCAGCTCCTGGGGCTGTCTGTTTCGAGAAACACATCGAAGCAAATGTAGTGATCTTGATGTTGTTGTATTGCACGCAAAGTTTTTGGTTGGTCGATATGGGGAAAAGAACAAAATCTTTCAAGGTTCGTACATCATCAGAGGTCTACAGATAGGTCGAAATACAATCATGCCCGCCAACGCCATTACCCTTCCTTGATGCCGGGACGCAATG